CACACCCACAGAGTAGGTTCAAACAATTTTTGAAAGCCACCACTGAAGTGCATCTCAACATTCTGAAGCCAGGGTCTATAATACATATTCCAAGTCCTCCTATGCCTTCAGCATACCCATCCCAAATCAGCATATTAAAATGCCATTCATCTCTGTTTGAAAATTTGTTGGGACTTGTTGCTATTAACATACAGTATCTGGTTATGTTAAAACTTATAAATGAATTATCCCTTGAATGGATTAATTTCTTCTCTCCTAAATAAATTTCATCTCATTTTTATTACGTTAGACCAGTTGCAGTCTCTCAGAACATTTTCCTTGTGACTGTGATATTTCCAAGAATCATCAGAATACTTCCCAAATTATTCTATAATTAAATACATTTTAAAAATTAATCACTACATTAAAAAAATAACACTTGAAATCTGTGTGACTCTGCTTATTTCAGATCTTGGAATTCAAGTAATCATCTCCATTCACAATACCAATAAAATCTATTTGTATGATTCCTTTTATTGCATTATTTGCATATATACTTTTTAGTTTAAAAAAAACATAATTTGCAATGTTATTTTACTATTTGTAAATATGGTGAGTTCTACACTGTTCAGTTAATTCAGTGGACATGTTTTACAGATGATCTTACTTTGCAAATAAAAGAACAGGAATGTTGTTGTCATTATTATTTTTTTGTAAAGAGAAAGGTAAAATTCTTTAAAAATTAATACCAATACCAATTTTTACTAGTTTTGTAGAGTAAGTCTGAGGAAATGGTTTTATGGGGTGATACTTACAATTTTCACTCCACAGAAAAGTTACTGGAAATTTTACCTATTAACAGCAAATTCATTTTTTGATTGCTAAAACTTTAAATAGCAAGCATTCACCGCACCTTCACACAACAGGGAAGCATCAGCAGCCCGAGAGGACCTGTATAGAATAGTTCCATGTTCATTGGCCACAGGAAGCTTGCTAGTTGATGGATTGGGAGGAGGATGGAAAAACAGAAGGAAGAGAATGGAAACAGGCTGGGCAAACTGACTGGGATCCTGAACAGGATAGTTCGAGATGGCATTTGCAACATATTCCATTTCCTTCAATTGTCTAGTAAATATTTGAATACTGAAGCAAGGAAAATTTGTTTAGATAGAATTCCCCACACACACACACAATTATTCAACTTGCAAACTTGCTTACAGAACCTACCCACATCCGCTGCAGTTTGAGCCCAGATTATATCAAAGATTGGTGGGGATATGATAACAATTAGATAAGCTCCATTATTGCAACCACTTATTTATTTTTTTGTAAATGAAGAATAGGTATCCATTTACCAGAGATGACAGCCTATCATGTAGCAGTAGTTTCAATTCATGCCTTCAAGTTTCAAAGCTAGTTCCCCATCTATCAACCCACTTTAATTCTCATAAACTGTTGTTCATCACGTACTATTAACTATAACCTCCCAACAACCCGCCCTTCGATTTTGTTCTCCTTGTTGTTTCTATATTCATTAAACAAGCATTTAACATTTTATGTGATTTCTGCAGCAGGAGTTTATAATTCTTAGTATCATATCCCAGGTACAAACTCAGATTGGGACATATATTCCCGATTCACGTTGCCGAGATTTTCTTTCCCTCTCTCACAGAAAGCCCGATTTTGAGGAACAGAGAAGGAATTGAAATAAGTCAGCAGTTTTTATCCTTCCAATAAATCTTTTCAGAGCAGCCTTTATCTCCATGTTTCTAAGCGTGTAAATGAAGGGGTTGAGCATGGGAGTCACCATTGTGTACATGAGAGAAGAAATCATGTTTTGTTCTGGACTCCTGGAGTTTGGCTGCAGGTAGACCCAGCAGAGGGTGCCATAGAAGAGGACCACCACACCCAAGTGAGAGCCACATGTGGAAATGGCCTTTTGTTTCCCCTTTGTGGATGGGACTCTAAGAATGGTGCAGAAAATGCAGGCATAGGAGATCACAATGAGGATGAATGGGGCCAATACATCTATGTAGCTCTCAATTAGAGAAATTGTTTCTATAACACTTGTGTCTGAGCATGCCAGTCGTAACAAAGGGAAGAACTCACAGAAGAACTGGGGGATCTCCTTAGAGGAACAGAAAGAGAGAGGGAACATTATCAATGTATACAGCACAGAATTGAGGGATGCCAGGAGCCAACAGATGGCCACAAGTAAGAGGCAGCGCTTGTGGCTCATCCGTGTGGCATAAAGCAGTGGGTGGCAGATGGCCATATAGCGGTCATAGGCCATCACAGCCAAAAGATAGTTGTCTGTGTTGGCGAAAGTCATGTAGAAATACATTTGCATCAAGCAACCACTATAGGAAATAGTCCTGACCTGGAAGAGAAGGTTTTGCAGCATCTTGGGGACAGTCACGGAGGCAAAACCCACATCTGCCAAAGAAAGATGCCTGAGGAAGAAATACATGGGGGTCTGCAGAAGGTGAGCATCTGAGGAAATCAGCAGAACAATCAGTAAATTCCCCAGGACTGTCAGGAAGTACATGGATAGGAAGAGCAAGCCCAGAAGGTGTTGGTGCTCTGACTGGAAGGATAAATCCATAAGAATGAAATTGGAGGAGTCCGTATGGTTCTGTTTTGCCATTACTCAACTATGGAAAAGAATAAAAGAGATACACAGATAGAAGCTCAGTTCGCTCAGAGGGATACCAGGATGACAAAAAGTAGAAACAGAGGAAAGGAGCAAAGCAGGCCATAACGTGTGTGTGGACCCCACTCCTGCCTCATTTCAATAGATAAGGTAAAGAGTCAACCAGG